AAAACAATTAACACCTGCATATCTATATATATATTATCTTTGTCTGCTACAAGCAATTTAGGAAGGAGGTTTCTACCTGCCTGCATATCTATATATATATTATCTTTGGATGACAGTCTGGAATTTTAAATTATGATTAAAGGGACTGTAAGCGCAATTTAAAGAAACTATCCATGCAAAGATGACTACGGCCGATTTACAACGGTAGTTATCAGACTCATAACTATATTTGATAAATAATGTTGAAGATATTGTTGTTTTTCTAGGTTTATAAACATTATCTAATTCATTTTGAATTGAAGGCCACTTTAAATTACGCTTACATACCCTTTAACGAGTTCCTGTCTAGGTATGCTGTTGCTGCAATTAAGAAGAAATTTTATCATCAGAATCCGCATGCTGCACTTTACGCTCTACAGGTCAATATTTTTAATCAAATTCAAACCTAAATAATTTATACATGAACAATAAATAAGTTCGTGCATCTGAGCTTTAGGCTCGGAAAGAAAAAATATTACTTTTTAAACAAATATTTATATAAATCGATATAATATTTCATATAATTGTGTTTCAAAAACTTATCAGGGTGGTTGTGCCTCTTGTGTGTCCCAATATTTTTGTTTGTTATTGACTGATTTTATCAAAGTTTCTGGGTTGGCGGGGCTCATAAAAAAATCAAAAATGAGGAAATTTGATCATTTTTTTCTGTTTGTTAGGTTATGGAATCTTGTGTAAAGAACTGCGGAGTTCTGATCCACGAGGAGATTGCAACCAAATCCTTCATGGAGGAGCTCAGGGACCTCGTCAAGCAGGGGACAGATGATACAGTCAAAAATAAGGTACTGATCAGGATTTAACTGTTTTAGTCAAATAATTTTTGTTATTTAAACTTCTCCAAAATAAAATGAAAAAATCAGAGAATATATTTGAAAAACTTATTATTCGATACAAATTAAGCAATGTACAACGTCGACCAGTAGTGGTCTGTAGAAAGTTAAGCGCATGATCAGTTAGATCGATTTTTCACTCTATTTTCTTTCAGGGTCTAATGGCAAAGTGTAGGAAAATCAAATGTTTTCTAAATTGTTTATTCTAATTAATTGTTTTTATTAACATTAAGTCTGACCCTTACTTAAACATTAAATACAATTTTAAAATCTTGCTAGTTTAATTACTTTTTTTAAACGATCCATTACGATTAACAGCAATATTTGTAGATTCCTCATTAAGATCGTTTCTTGCGATCAATATTGATTTATTTTTAAATTAGAATTTATTATAGGTTCTTGAGCTGCTTCAGACTTGGGGAACGGCGTTCAGGAACTCTCCTAAATATAGAATAGTGACGGATACTCTGCATCTAATGCAGGCGGAGGGATGGAAGTTTCCGCCGGTCAGGTCAGTCAACCTTTAGTTTCAGGCAGTGCTTAGAAATTAGGATCCAGATCCGTTGGATACGCAAGATTTTGGCTTCCTGGATCCGGATCCGTCCAAGGGGTAAATTATCAACCAAAGTAAAACAAACGTTTACTCTCAAAACCCAAATCTGAACTGTTACAAAAATATTTTTTGATCCATATCAAAATTAAATGGATCCTAAGCACTGGTTTTCGGTGTATTGACTTCCTTTTGAAAACCACCCCCTTGTTCTAAATAAATTGTTGTTGCCATATATAGAAGGCTAATGATATTAGATACTAGTTTTTAGAGCGCTTCGCGTCCATCCTCTTATTTTAACTTTTAATTGTGGCTCTATCTTTGAGCATCTTCTCTTTTTTAGTAAAAACAATAACAATAAAGATTCGCGAATTTTTGGATACAACTTTTTGTAAACAAAATTTGGGCCCGATCGGTTCCGCCGTTTTGACGTTTATTGGATACAAACAAACCAAGCAAAGTATTAACTATTTATATAGATAGAAGATAGAAAGATAAACTAATCCCTTTAGAGAGGCGGAGGCTATGTTTGAGGCGGATACTGCTCCGGCTTGGTCGGATGGTGAGGTTTGTCATAGGTTAGTGTAATCATTATTTTGTTTGAAACATTTTTTTATTTAATGACAAAGGGAATGGTGGAGTTGGCACATTTGATGTAGGGGGGGGGGGCGGCCCTGCCTTCATTTTTGGTTCAAATCTTCCAATTTTTTGAGTGCACGCCTAATAAGTGATCGAAATTCCTAAAATAAAATCAAATTGAATTTTAATGACCTCTAATGACCTCCAGAAATAGAAAATATTTCAACTATGGCTTTATGCACATCAAACGAAAGCTAGGGACCCAGGGAATACTGTAGCAGCAAAAAATCCAGTGTTTGACCTTCTAATGACCTCTGACGACCTCTAATGACCTTAATGACCTCCAAAAATGAAAATGTTTTAACTATGGCTTGATGCATATCAAATGAAAGCTAGGAACCCCAGGAATACACTAGCAGCAACAAATCCAGTGTTTGACCTTCTAATGACCTCTGACGACCTCTAATGACCTCCAAAAATGAAAATGTTTTAACTATGGCTTTATGCATATCAAATAAAAGCTAGGAACCCCAGGAATATAGTAGCAGCAACGAATCCAGGTCATTAAGGGTCGTTAGAGGTCATTAGAAGGTCAAACACTGGATTAGTTGCTGCTACTGCATTCCTGGGGTTCCTAGCTTTCGTTTGATATGCATCAAGCCATAGTTAAAACATTTTTATTTTTGGAGGTCATTTAGGTCATTATAGGTCGTTAGAGGTCATTAGAAGGTCAAACACTGAATTTTTTGCTGCTACTGCATTCCTGGGGTTCCTAGCTTTTAATTGATATGCATAAAGCCATAGTTAAAACATTTTCATTTTTGGAGGTCATTAGAGGTCGTCAGAGGTCATTAGAAGGTCAAACACTAGATTTGTTGCTGCTAGTGTATTCCTGGGGTTCCTAGCTTTCGTTTGATATGCATCAAGCCATAGTTAAAACATTTTCATTTTTGGAGGTCATTTAGGTCATTAGAGGTCGTAAGAGGTCATTAGAAGGTCAAACACTGGATTTTTTGCTGCTACTGTATTCCCTGGGTCCCTAGCTTTCGTTTGATGTGCATAAAGCCATAGTTGCAATATTTTCTATTTCTGGAGGTCATTAGAGGTCATTAGAGGTCATTAAAATTCAATTTTATTTTATTATAGGAATTTAGATCACTAATTATACAAAAATATTAATGTATTGCTTAAATTCTGGCTATTGCACTTTTAAAAAGTTTAAATATGACATTTTTGATTTATTTTAGGCATACCTTTTATGATAATCATTCACTTTATAAATGTAAACAACGTTAAATTAGCTTATTCATAAATTTTGTTTAAGGTTGCTGGAAATATTGAGACTAAATACAAGTGCTCCGAATATGGTATTTCTCTTACTGAGAAGTGGAACACCGACAACACCCTCAACGCTACCCTGGACATTCAGGTAAAACTAAAATACTACTGAACTTGTATTTTTTAATTTAGCAAATCCTTTATCACCTCGCCTCCATTTTTTAAAACTCTAAGAATTAGCTATGTCGTAAGATTTTTTTCCCACTGAAATAGGGAAAATCGTCTTTTTTCTCCATTGTTTTTTGAGTTTTAGCTCCTCTTCGCTTGGCAAATTGAAAAAAAACTGAATGGAATCAGCTGTTCCTGGCTAAGAAGTTGAGAATGTTAGCCGGAAGTGTATCATTTAGACAAAGAAAAGAGCAGCAGACATTATGACGAGCTTGTTTAGTAGAGAGAATTGATATATTATTGATAGTTTCATGATAAAAGATCTTGCCTACCTAGGTTCAAAGTTATTTACCCTTTATATGTGCAGGATAAGGTTATGCCCGGTCTGAAGGTCACCCTGGATGGAAACTTTAAGCCCAACACTGGCAGCGTTGCTGGTAGGAATATTAAATTTGTACATAAGATCAACAATCAAGCAATGTTTTTTTTTTAAATATTCCCTCTTTCCCGGTATTTACCCCCCCCCTGTGCTAAAAAAAAAATCAGACCTATGTGACAATAATTAATATAAATTTTCATTTAAAAACATTTTTATTACAACTTCAATTTTGTTTTAGTAATTTAATAATGTTTTTATATCTCAGGTAAGCTGAAGACTGAATACAAGCATGATCGTCTTGTGTTTGCCACGGATATGAACTTGGCCGCTAACCCCGCCATCAACTTGAACGCCTCTGTCGGCCACGGTGCCTGGGCGGTCGGATACGCCACCTCATTCGATACTGCCAAGTCGGCCATCACCAAGAACCACTTTGCTGTTGGGTACGCTACCAAGGAGGCAGTTCTTCACTGCACTTGCAACGACGGAAAGGTAGGGTTTGTTCATGTTGTGTTGATTAGTTCACATGTCCTAGGACAAATTTAATATCGAGGCAATGTCCCTTTTGATAGGCTTTTTTGCCTGTTTTGTATTGTTCAAGTAGAGTTTTTTGTACAAAAGCTTTTATTCTGATATTTGCTCTTTTCAGTGTCAAAATTGACCCTGATTATTAATGATAAAGGGCACTGGGTAATAAAAGAAAACTGAATTATAATACAGATTTGAAATCTTGTTGGTTATATTAAGTTTCCATAAAGAACTGCCTGCAATCGTTGAGGCTTTATACATCTATCAGAGACTGCTAAGGTCCATGGAGATTTTGATTTTATTATTAATATTTTCTGATTTTAGACTTTCGGTGGCGGAATCTACCACAGAATCAACCCAAGTCTTGAGACCGGAGTTTCCATCTCTGCTGCTCTTGGTAAGTACTAAGATCTAGAGCCCCTTAAGATATGGGGGGGGGGTAGTGTCGCACTATTCAGAGGGGTGGGGGTGTATCGCAGCTCACAGATGTTGCGGGAGGGGGGTCAAGGTAAAACACGTGGAGCTATTGCACCATACATTCAATTTGATTATTTTGGGAAAATGTACACTTTCATTCGGGCCATAACTAAGCTAGTTGTTCAGCTCTCAAAACTAAATATTCCTCATCTTATATTATTTGTCTGTGGCCTAGTTTTATGATAATCTCGGTGCGCAACTTACTCTTTTTATTACAGGAGGCAGTGCCGCTTTTGGTGTTGGTTGCAAGTATGATCTTGGACCAGATGCCAGTATTAGAGCTAAGGTTGACAACTCCAGTAAGGTGAATAAAACTCGCGTTTTTAGGGGAAAAGTGAAGTATGCTAGTTTTATTTTCTAATTCATGCTTCAAGGACGCACAGGGTCTCCCACAAGATATTAGATTGTTAACGGCTTTAAATTACGATTTTTGGGACTATTCAGAAGAATGAATCATTTCAAAAATTGTTTAATGTTTAAAAGTTATTCGAGTATGTTGGCGTTAAAGATTGGAGATACTCCAATATGATATAAGACGTAGGTTAAAGAGATCAGTATTTGTATCAGAAATCTATTTCTTCAATTCCGCACTAAATCTTTATATTCTCATACTTATCGATTTCTTACTTCAATATTTTAATTTACGTCAAATGCCAACTTTATCATAATCCTCGCGACATTTATTATTGGAGGATTTCTTAGTTGAGCAAATATTAATATTTCCTTCATTCCCTGTTCATGACATTTCATGGTTCAGTGTAGATGGGAAATAACATTTTTAAACTATTTCAGGGTGTATATTTTCTTTATAATAAAAGAAAACATTCGTATATATGTTCCCCAAGGCTGGCTAAACGGCTGGACCGAATGGGCCGATATTTTTTGTGGACATTCATGGGTAGACAAATTAAATTTGATTTTGCCCACAGTTTTCATTTTTTTTTATTTCATACCTTTTATTTATCCAATTTTACTATTCTAATATTTTTTACTCATTTCTTCAAATTCACATGATCAGTTAAATTATTTAAATCAATTTTATAAATTTTAGGTTGGTCTGAGCTACCAGCAGAAGTTGAGGGATGGTATCACTGTAACCCTGAGCAGCAACATTGACGGAACCAAGCTTAATGCTCCTGGACACAAGCTTGGCCTGGCCCTGGAGATGTCTGCTTAAACAATGTTCTTCAGGAAACCTTCAAATATATCTAGACAACTTTTAACTATGGCATATTTATAGGGTGTATTTTTTCTCGTTAATGTTTTATCTTCAGGGAAATAACTGATTTTTAATAGATGAAATAGCTGATTTTTTACAAATGAAATAACTTTTCTTTTTATGTCCAATTTTTCATTTTCTCACCCTAGTTTTTAAACAATGTTGTAATTCTTAAAGTATTTTCCTGGATTAATAATAAGAAGTATAATCGGCATTCTTATTAAAACGGGAAGCTACATTAGCAAAAATATCTTTTGATGGAAATTTACGTTTTAAGGCATTTTTTGATATCCTCACCTTATCGTACACTTACATTTTTCGATGTTTTAAAGCTTTTTTATCTCTACAATGATGAACATGAAATTTTTCCTATTTTAAACTTCTGTTTTTGTTCAATTTTCATGGGTTACTTATGAAGGAATTTTTAGAATCCGTAAATATACTCAACTCTACAGTCCTACTAGACCTGACAATATTAGCTAGATCTGTGTTTAGTTATCTTCTATTTCTGCACTTCTTCAAAACCTATTTATCCAGTGTTTCGTGACGTTAAATGTACTCTCCGTTTCGAACACTGCTTTCGAAATTCGATGATAAATGTCTGGTGATTTTTTTTCTCGCAAATTTGAGCTAGAATCAAGTTCTCTCGTTAGTCAAACGATTGACGTGCATTTTAGTTTTTAAGTGGCTGTTTTTTTCTAGCAAAACTAAAAATACTAAAAAAATAGTTTCGAAGGATTTCTTGCATTTCTTGTGATTTTAGTTGGTACGTTTTTAGACTTTCGGAGATAAGACTTAAATTCGCGTTTATCTTTTCGCGACATTTTGGTCAATCTTCCCAATATTAAATTATATAATAATCCCTAGCCTTGTATTAGACTCGAAATTATAAATATTACAGAGAGGATGGGTAAAGCTAAGAAGATTAAGGTATCTAAGAATGAGAAGGGACCGGAGTCTCTGGCTGATCAAATAAATCAAGGGAACTACGCTGCTCCTTCAGGTATTGCTTTAACGTGAATAGAAGTAGTTGGACTGTAAGCACAATCTCGATTAAACTCGTTGATTAGAAGGCATGTCAAATTCACAATGGTTCTCTTATCAACTGTCAGATGAAGTAGTTACTATATATCTGAATTTGTCTAGATGAAACTTGATTTTTACAGTTTCTTCAGTGATATTAGTAAATAACTAGCGTCACCCTCACTTCTGATCAATGAGCTAATCGGATTTGTTAATTATCAAAGAACATGGGCCAACCAATATTTTAACTTTACGTTTTTATGTAAAACAATTTTCAACGTTTCTTGAAAACTTTCCCGGAAATGTTTCCAGTTTCCTGTTTTCCTGGTTCCTGAATGAGTTGGGTTTCCTGTTTCCTGGAAGTGTTTCATAATTACTAAACTTTAATTATGATTATGTTTAGGTCGTGTTAAGGACAGGAAGAGGAAGAATGAGGATGATGTCGAAGAGTATGTGGAAGGAAAACTCAGCAGATCTATCATGCAGCAAGCAAGGCTTCAGGTACAAACCTAGATTCAGAATAAACCTTATGGTTATATTTCTTGACGAATTATTACCGTCCCCCTTCTAAAATCAATGTTTCTTAAAAGAATGTATGTAATTTTTAGTCTTAATTTCTTGTTAAAATAGGGAAGATGTAAAAATGTTGGTTAAAAATCGTGCCGTTTATCTACATAAATATGTATAAATAAAATTTTCTTTACATCTTGTGTTCACAGATTTTTCTTCTGAACACATTGCCTGGATTTGGTGAGTGAACTGACTTGTACTTTAGTCAGTTCATTTTCATCCTGGCAAAGAGTAAACTCGCAATTAGTTCTGTTCGTTCTTAAACCTTGTGTTTAGTGAACAGAGGACTTAGTGTGCACATTCAAGATATTTTTATACGTTCAAAGCTTTCTATTCATTCCATGATTGTAAATGAGGTTTTCGTATATCAGAGTTTCCTCTAAAAACGTAGAAAATGCAAATTAACTTGAAATACTACGATAAAAAATAATTCATCGAATTACTTACATGATCGATTCATTGCCTGGATTTGGTGAGTGAACTGATTTATATCATTGTCAGCTCATTTTCATCTTGGCAAAGAGTAAACTCACAATTTGTTCTGTTCGTTCTTGTGTTCAGTGAACAGAGGACTTAGTGTGCACATTGAAGATATTTTTATACGTTCAAATCTTACTGTACTGTTACTACGATTGTAAATGAGGTTTAGGTTAATCAGAGTTTCTTAAAAACGTAGAGAAAATGCAAATTAACTTGAAATACTACGATAAAAATAATCTATATTTTTAATCGAATTACTTACATGATAGATATATTGCCTGGATTTGGTGAGTGAACTGACTTATACCTTAGTCAGTTCATTTTCATCCTGGCAAAGAGTAAAGTCACAATTTGTTCTGTTCGTTCTTAAACCTTGTGTTTAGTAAACAGAGGACTTAGTGTGCACATTCCTGTTAAAATATTTTTATACGGGTAAAGTCTGTCATACTTACTACGCTACGCTCTTAAACCTTGTGTTGAGTGAACAGAGGTCGTTTTGTGCACATTTACATAAAAATATATAAAAAAGCAGCATTAAATTGATGATTCTTTGGTATAAATTAAAGGAGCATGTATAATTGTAAAAAGGAATTTTGAAGTTAATTTATGATCAATAATAAATCCAAATTAAGAAATTTAAAAATGTGTTATTCAGGCGGCAGAGTTGGAAAAGGAGTTGGGTACTGGTGTTAAACCTAAACCAAAGGAGACTAAACTCTCTCTTGGAGATGAGGATGAAGATGATGATCTGGAGGAAGACGACCTGGAGATTCAGAAATACGATGATAAGTAAGTTTTTCTTTCAAACCAGCGCAAAGCTCTTACACTGCTGAAAATGTATTAACACCTAGGTTAAGTCCGGATTCCTGCAGAATTGCAGATTTTCTCTGAACCGGTTTTTTATCTTTCTGGGTTTATGTGTGGCAGGGTTCTCAAATTTTGCAACTTTTTAAAACCGCCAGGAGACGTAGTAAAAAATCAAAATGTTGTAGCCAAAAATCAAAGCCCAAAAGTTCTTTGTGATTTTCGCCGATTTCAAATTTTTGGTAGTACATAAGTAGTCGTACAGTTTACTTAGAGCATTGATTTTTACATACAACACATCTTCTGACTTAAATTTTAGGGACACTGCCAATTATAGTTAAAAGAAATAAATAATAAACCATCATAATTCCCTTTTTGATAATCCCAGTCTGAATAAGTAAACCCACATTTTAAGAATTCACTTATTCACACGAGTACTGAAAAAAAAACTTTATTTGAGCACAAACAATTGACTTGTTATCCGAAAATTTATTGCGAATGTGTTATTTGACGCTTTTATATAAGGATTAAATGAAGTAACGGAAGTCAGTCCCTTGCTGTCAAAATTCTCAACTCTTGATATTATGATTTTTAAGATTTCTTCGAGATTTTTAAAAAAAATTGTATTTCATTTTTGTTTTTATAGGGAGGTGACTGTTGATGAGAACGATGACCTTGCAGTTCGAATGTTTATGAGCAGGTTAATGAATACTTATTTTATCTAAATTGATAAACTTGCTCCATTCATTCCATGCTGACGCGAATAAATACTTGGAATCTAGCTCAAATATAACATTTTTTTTGAATATTTGTTAGCTAAATTAACGATATTTTGAGAAGTTTGTTAATTTTTGGTTGACATTTTGTAAGTATTGTGGTTCCATATAGTCAAAAACAAGACTAGTTTCTNCCCCCTCTCAGTTTCAAAATATTTTTCCTCCGATGTTGGGCATGTTTATGTTTAATTGGGGAAAATAAACTTGTCAAATGTGTTTATACATACCCTTGCCTGAAAGCAGGGAAGAGGTTTTTTTTCTGTTGATGATTGATTGGAAATTTAATTATTTTTTTCAGGTTTTTATGCTAAAATTCAGTTTTAAAATAATTTAGTTTTGAAAAAAAATCAGAGCTTGAAAGTCCAACATTAATTTAGTCTTTGTCCATATAAATGAATAAAGTTTGTACATTCTGAATTTTGTTTGTTTTTCACTTTGGCTAGACATTACTTTGAAATATTCCAGCCGTAATTTCTACCAATTCGTGAAATTATTAACACCCATTGGATGGTGTGCATGATTAATGCATGTATTGATAAATGTTTTTGCAGGGAGTGTGAACCCCGGCGAACCATTGCTGACCTGATTATGGAGAAGATTGGGGAAAAGAAAACTGAGATAGACACACAGTGCTCAGAACCTGGAGATATGTTTAAGTAAGTGAAGAACTAAATATCGATCGGTCGGTGTTGTTTTAAATAACGATTATTATACCACATTCTTATCGGATTTACTACGTAGCCAAATCCGGAATATTTCTTGTTATTGTCACCCATTTTGTGTAATAATTATGATATTCCACGAACCAAGTGACAATATCAAGAATTATTCACCGCGAACTTGATAGATAGATAGATCCACGACCTAAGTGACAATATCAAGAATTATTCACCGGGAACTTGATAGATAGATAGATCAATTTAAAATAAGAATTAACATATTAATTCTGGGAATGCATTTAAATCCTCCAAGAATGTGGTATAATATTATTATGCGTAGGAAGAAAGTGTAATAATCAAAATTATTGTTATAATATTGAAAGAAAAACCGTGGAATAATTTTGATTATTCACCTCAGGCTGCGCCTTTCGGTGAATAATCAAAATTATTCCACGGTTTTTCTTTCAATATTATAACAATAATTTTGATTATTACACTTTCTTCCTACGCATAATATATTAATATTCAGATAGTGTTGTCAATTGTCAATTTTACCCTGTAAACCTTTATTAAAAAATTGCATTTTTTATATTTTTTATTTTTGATGTTATATTCTCGCTATTTTCTTGGGAAGATAAATTATATTAAAAGTAAACGCCATTTTAAAAGATTGTGAATATCATTCCCTGATAATTAAAACCATTTAGTGTCCTGTCGCTCCATAAATGGAGAATCTTATCACATTTAGTTTTAGACCCTTAAACACGTGATTTATATTTTCCTAACTTATTTACAATTCGTCGTTTTAGAGAGCTGGATCCGCGAGTACAGAGTATGTACGAAGAGGTTGGAACTATTCTCTCAAAATACAGGTACTAAAAATATAATATAGTTTATGTTGTCGGATGCAAAGGAACTAATGAAACAGAAACCGGGATTGTTACTGCGACGTTTAAGGATAGTTTGATAAATACTCAAATTGTTTCTATGCTTTAAAGTTTTTTTTACCATTTCACATCGTTCTTTTTCACTTAATTGTCAATTGTTTGCTTAAGTTTCTAATAACCTGATAAAAAAAAACAAAAAACGTATTAGTTTTGTTTTTTACTTGCTCGGCGATAGCAAATTGTCGACATATTTAATGTTAATTACCTTGAACCCTTTTCATGGTCAACGTTAATTTCAATTTCCTATATTCTAGGTCTGGTCGTATACCCAAAGCGTTCAAAGTGATAGCACAGTTCAGAAACTGGGAACAGCTCCTTTACATCACACAGCCCGACAAATGGTCAGCTGCTGCACTATATCAGGTAACAAGGTGCGCTGCGAGTAGACATGAGACTAATTCTATGTCGTTTTTTGTTTAACTGTTGGGTTGGTGACGTGAACATTGAAATTTAGAGTTCAGGAATTTATGGGCTTTAATTGCGACTTGAAACATGTTTTTCTTCCTTGTTAATTGGTTTCTCTTAATAAAGTTTCAATCTACCGGACATCCCTTTACTTTTTAGTAAAGGATATATGAGGGTTTTGATAGACAAAGCCGTAAAATCCCCCAGGAGTAATTCTGCGCCTTATTTTTCGAAATGTGTAATCTATAAGTTTTAAGTAAATTAACTGGTTAAAGCGACAATATTTCTGGCTGAATTCTTTTTTTCAACCATTCACATAAAAATTTCTAACTGAAAGATTTTAGGCTACTCGGATTTTCACATCTAACCTGAAGGAGAAGATGGCGCAAAGATTTTTTAATCTCATTCTCCTTCCTAGAGTAAGGTAAATTGTTAATAATTACTATTTCTGATGAAGTTGCGACTGGCATATTTTCCTAATTATTTTTTTTTTTTGAGCAGTTGTGTTTTTCAAAGCAAATAAGCAACATACCTCCTATTTAATGGCATTGATTCTTGGTCTTGGTTTGATGTTTTGCTTTGATTTGCTTTGTTTGAACATGCAAAAGAGTTGATACCAATAATAACTTATTTATCAGGGACGATATTGATACTTATCACAGACTAAACTTCCATCTCTACCAAGCTTTAAGGTAAATTTGATTATTTCTATTTTGAATTGGCATGACGAGGGGTTAAAGCTGATTGTAATCTTATTTCGAAAGACATCAATTTTTCCCTGTTCTTAACGAGTGGAGAATATTTTTCGCATTTGCTTAGGTTTCCCGATTTACTCTAAATTTTAGCACGCATTTAAGTTTTTCTTCCAACTAAGCTCACCTTTTGTAGTTCTCTGCTGTCAATTTGTTGTATCAATTTATTGTTTTCAGGAAAGCTTTATTTAAACCTGGAGCGTTCTTCAAAGGATTTCTTCTTCCTCTTTGTGAAGAGAGAAACTGCTCCTTAAGAGAATCTATAATTATAGGTAACATTTTCTAGGGGTTAGTGTCATCTTTTTTTTACAAAAATAAAGTTAATTCAGATATAAAGCACTCATTTTAGTCCAAAAGTTTCCCTAATGATAAATACTAGTACCACCAAATTGTTTACTCACGTTCCACATTATTGAAAAGATTAAAACGGTAAAAACTAAGTTTTAGAATAAATACTAGTACCACCCAATTGTTTACTCACGTTCCACATTATTTAATAGATTAAAACTAAGTAAAAACTAAGTTTTAGAATCATTAAATAAACCCTTATACTCTCAAATATTTATGTTACTGAGAGTAAAAAAGTTTTTTTGCACTTTTTGTTGATACGTTGTCCCTTTATTCCGGATTCAGGATACGATATGATATCTTACGGATCCGGATTCTTATCACTGGTTTCTCATTAAATTATATTTCTTCAAGTCTTGAGTCAAATTATAAATTTGCCATTGAAACCCCCCCCCCTTTCCCTCCCTCTCTCTGCTTTTCCTCTTCTTCAGGAATGGGGAGGACTTGAAACTCCAATCCACTGCAACTTATGATTTGATTTGATTTGATTGCTATAGCTATAACTGAAAACGTGAACATTAAAAAGAAAAAACGAAGAATTTGAGTTATTTTCTTGGTCAGCTCCAATTTAAATCCTGTAACTATATTAAAAGGTATTATGTTTCAGGGTCTGTGCTCGCCAAGAATTCTATCCCAGTACTTCACTCTTCTGCAGCTATGATGAAAATTGCTGAAATGGAATATAGTGGAGCTAACTCTATATTTCTCAGGTTGAGATATTTAACCAAAAGTTGTAATTATTTGCCAACTACTATTTTCAAGCGTTAAAGAAGATTTTAAAGGAAACTCCGAAACGTATTTTGTCATTTTTTAGAATTTAATATTTTTAGAGTTTTGTTGGACAAAAAGTATGCTTTACCATACAGAGTCATTGATGCCATTGTTCATCATTTTCTAGGATTCAGGTAAAAAATTTATTTATCTAGGATCAAGCTCGATTTACAACCTCTATAGATTATCTTATCCAGAATTTCTCAATATATGGCTTAATTTTATCTCAGTTGCTATATTCTGAAAGTTTCAAAAAACCCCATCTTTGTGAATCTCTCTGATTTATTCCTGAAGGGTATTATTTGCTAAGTAAGGGAAAATAAACAAATTGTTGGATAAAAAGTATTAAGAAGGATTAAATCATGCCTTAACATGTCCAACTTTAACCATATCTTGCTTAATCCTAATCTCAATCTCAATCATTTTCTAAATTTTATTACTAGGAGTGAGAAAAGAGAACTTCCTGTTCTATGGTTCCAATGTTTCCTAACCTTCTCCCAGAGATATAAACAAGATATCAGCTCGGAACAGAAACAAGCTCTTCTAGATCTATGCAAGGTAATGTTGGGGCAATTAAAGGGAATGTTCTATCATTTGGGGAACTTTAGTATTTAGTATCTTGTTGATTTTTTAATTGCGTTTTTTAAGCTTTTGTTATTTTTACTGAAGTTTCGTCCAAATTGCTTTTTGCTTTTTTAAAACTATTCAATTATTTTGTTAAATGTCTTGCTACAGCAATGTAAAACTATAAAAATGTTCTGTGCTTTGTTTTTATTTGTTAGTTAAACGGCTGTACCAAATTGGCTGATATGTTTGAGGAAACCCATGGGTACCAAAGAATAATTAAAATTCTTTTTTAAAATTTGTATATTTTTTAATTTAACGGGCAGCGCTGGGAACTTATGCTTGCACTAAAACTGATTTTGTTCAGATCCAAGTCCATCATGGAATTACCCCTGAAATTAAGAGAGAACTACAACACGGAAAATGCCGCGATGAAGAACTAGATGAACCCCCAAATATGGAAATGTGAACACCAGAGGAATACATCAACCCTAACACTAGATCAGACCAGTGGATTTCTTTCTCAGATCGCCGACCAGAGAGAACCCAGCGAGAGCGGAAATTCAGAAAATTTTCAAGAAAATCTTATTTTTGTACCTGCATTCATTCAGTTTGATAAATCTTTGAGATAATATTTTATTTTCAGAGAAGGTCAACGGTAAGATGGGAGCATACAAGTACGTATCCGAGCTCTACCGCAAGAAGCAGAGTGATGTCATGAGATATCTTCTCAGGATTAGGTAACAATAAAATCCGTTCGGATATCACATATTTTAAAAATTTCAACCGGAATTAAATCTGCCAACGTTAGAAGGAAATTTCGGTTCACCAATTTGAAGTTCTTATTTCAGAACAGTGGCTCACCTCACGTTCTTAAAATATTGCATAGAAGACTTTTAATATTGAATGAAAGAATTGTGAGTAAACATCCTTACTTCGTGGACTTTTGCCATTAAATATTGAGATATTTTTCAAAAATTATCGTGACAAATTCATTTGCCAACATTTTTGTTCAATTTTTACATTTTATTTTGTATTTAGATGCTGGCAGTACAGGCAGTTGAACCGTGTACACCGTGTACCCCGTTCAACCAGACCTGACCGAGCCAGGAGACTAGGATACAAGGCCAAGCAAGGTGAAATTAATCTTGAAAATATTTCTTCTTTCTAGGTTGGTAAATCTTTAAATTGTGGGGAACTTTTTTTGTGAAATAGTCTCCCTTCCTTTTTATGAAAGTCCTAACCTCTTTGCACTAAGAAATTTTTGCCCACAGCTGGATGAGATATGGATTTTAACATAGCACAATTTTTAAATAATTTCTCTTCAGGTTTCGTTATCTACCGTGTGTGCATGAGGCGAGGTGGCAGGAAGCGTCCTGTTGCTAAGGGATGCCCCTATGGTAAACCCAAGACTTCTGGTTCCGTCAAGCAGCAGAAACCAGAGAGGAATCTTCAGTCCATTGCTGAGGAGAGGGTGAGAAAACTATATTTTAAACCAGGGAGTCTGCATCGGTACCTACCCTTGAGACCTTATTTGATCAATAAAGTGTTGTTACTAGTGTTTAATTCTGATCATTCCTAAATTGTTTCTTACTGCATGAATGTGCAAGCTACTCTTGTAGAGAACTTATGAATATTGAATATCTAATTCCTACACATGGAATCCAGCGTCCCAGCACATAATTAGAATAAGTATGATTATTAATGTTTATTATTATGTATTATTATTGTTTAGACCGGGCGTAGGTTGAAGGGTCTGAGAGTTTTGAACTCCTACTGGGTTGGAGAGGACTCCACCTACAAGTATTTCGAGGTATTAATTGCTATCTGCATTATAAAATTAATATTTTATAATTCAAACTTCTAAAAATGAATTTGTTCTCTAATAAACGACTTCAAATAGTGGCATGGCAACTCTTGGCATTAAGATAGTGGGGTTAAAAATTCAATAATTTCGACATCGAATCAAAATATCCCCAAAAAATGAGTAACTTCGGTATAAATAAATCTGCTTAATACTAAACTAAAATAAAATTATCAATCTATTCCTTAATGTTAAAACTCGCCATGTTTAAGAATAATTGTTATCTTTGTGGCATGCTTAATATATATATTTAGGTGATCATGATCGATCCCTTCCACAAGGCTATCCGTCGTGATCCCAAGATCAACTGGATGTGCAGCCCTGTTCAGAAACACAGGGAGCTTAGAGGTCTTACCCACGCAGGTCAGCTTTATTATAATTTATTCAGTGGATTAATATTTGGGTTTTCATTCGTCTCCGGCTTCTGATATCGAATTCAGGTCTTTTTATACTTTACGGTGACTGGATTTAATGAGTTTGAGTCATGTCAGGTATTGAGACAGTTCAACCACCTGTCTTGAATCGGTGATATGGCATTTGTTCACGACTTATCGACATACACTACAGGGTTAACAACTAAAGACGACCCAAAACTCATAACATTCTAAGCTTGAATTTTGGTTTCAATTGAGCATTGTGATGGTTGACTAAATAATTACGCATAGAAACATGCTAGTTTTGGCCTACAAGGCCCTGAAAGAAAGACAATTGGCGAAACAAATTTCGTGCAGTCGTCTTTGAAGTCTCAACCTTTGAGAGTAACCCTGTACACGGTAGTATTTGAATCGACGTTAGGTATCTCGAGGGTTTTAAAGTTTATTTATAGTCTGCCTAGCATTTATCAGTTCTGAACTTGGTTAATGATTAGTTTAGGTTTTGTATACGTCTTTAAAGTAGGCTTAGGATACTGCTTGGATCAATTTTAGTTCTTGCTAGTATCTTGAAACGAAAACTGGGTTTTTCTTTTATTGGTATTGTGGAAGTAGGACGTCCCTAAAATTCTTATTTTATTTTATGGAGGATTTAACATTTATTAAATAGTGTCTGCTTCAGTAACCGAGTTTAATGTGTTTGAACTACTTGCCACCGGTTTTAATTTAAATCACTGATTCAAATCCTTCCTTTATCTTAAACTTTGAATCTGTAGTTCAAATTGAACCGGCAGTAGGTAGTTCAACGATGTAGCATCTGTTCTTCTATTAACTTAGTATTTTCTAGGAAAGAGTTCCCGTGGATTGGGTAAGGGTAGAAGGTTTACCCAGACTAAGGGAGGATCTAGGCGTGCATCTTGGCTCAGGAAGAACAGCATCAAGCTCAGGAGGAAGCGTTAAGCAAGGAAGGTTTCCACGTCAAAAAAAATATTATTTCTTATATTAAAAATTTATTACATGGGTGAATTTTTTATATAAGCCCCCGTCTTCGTAGTTTGCAGTGCACTTCTTAGGACTTGAAATACGGAACTTTAAAAGAGGAATATTTACCCATTAGGGGAATTTAACCCCCCCCCCCCCCTCAGGATGAAATTAAGAATTGGACATACATTTCTCATTGGATATTTTCTTCCGAAAAATGCATTAAATGCATTAAGCAAAGTCACAAAAGCAATTTCGGGGGTAAAAATTAGTCGATACCTAAGGTTTCGTTTTTTCTTCATATTTTTGACTGGACAATTGATTAGATCTTGAGAGGAGGTTTATCACTCTGCTTCACCAAACCAACATTTTTGTTACAATTTCTAAACTTGTCAATAAACTGTTGGTTCATTAATGAATTGTTTTATTATCTGGAGATATCGTCAGTTGTCAGGGATCCGAGTTAAGCTGAATATCGGTGCCTAGGATCTAGATCTGGAACCGTTGAATCCGGAATATTTCATCTTCCTAGATCCGGTTCCGCGAACAAATACGGATACAAGAGTAAAAAGGATAATGTTACTTCTGTTCTACGGCAGTGCCGTCCTATAGTACTTACGTCCTACGATTCTTCGGACCTACGACAGCTTTAGGTCGTACATTGCATTTTTTTTATCTGACCTACGCAGGAACAGTAGATATAGTCGGTATGTAGTTTGACAGTGCTACCAGAAGGATCGATGTGTCGGATGCACAACTTTTTAAGGTTGGAAAAACGGCAAATTGAAGCTGCGGAAAATCACGTGCGAGCAGGTCCGGAATATCGTAGGACGGATGTAACCCAATCCAAAATGTTTTACCAAAAACTGCTAACAAACATAATTTTACGCTTAAAAAGCATTATCTTAGTGTTACAAAATGGAATTGATACATACAAGTGTTGTATCACGGTTAAGTGTAAAAATATCTTCTAATTGTTTATCATGTATCTGTATCGCACACTGCTGAAAATGAACCATCAGGTTTCAAGTCAAAACAACTCATTTTTTTCGGACTATATTAATATGAAAGGCTTCTTTATAATCCTAATTTTGTGAATTTTCTTGAACAGGCACACAAGACATGTTTTGGCAAAAAAAAATCGAAGCCTAAGTGTACTGTATAATTGCCTAAATACTGCCTTAAAAGACTTTATATTAAATTCAGTTGAAATTACATCAAACTTTTTTGGGCCGCATTTTGACAGTCTGGCAACTGCTTTAGAGGGGTTTGAGTTTTTTGTTTAAGAAAAATAAAAAATTTGGAGACCATTCTATGAATGATACTGTTAAAAAATATCGACAACAAACTCGGAAGAAGCAGATTAAAGTCTTGAAATGAAATTTTTGTTTAATTTAAGACCTCTGAATGCACTTGATTTCTACAATTGATTGGCTCAAAATTCCCTAGGTGGCATTGTCTGAAAATTGAGAATATAACTTAGTAGCCTGCATTTAAACATTAGGTGTTTTGACTTGAAACCTGATTTTCAGTAGTGTGATCCGTACAGTCTCGTGTTTTTGGGTATTTCTGTGCATAGCTATAAATCTCGTAAGACTTTTTTAACGAATTTCGCAAGAAACTAGAACTAGCCGTTTTTACTTGTTTCTAATTGTGGTAAAGTGCGATTAAGAACAGCACGGCCTCTAACAATTTATAGTTATGGTCCCTAAATTGTATGCAACAATCTATTGAAAGGAACGGTAAAATATTTCAAAATTTATCAAAAAAATCGTTTAAAGGAAAATGAATTAATTAACAAACTTAATTAAGTTGTAAGGTTCGTATGGTAAATGCATTAAATCTAATGAAAATGGAAAAGGGAATGTATTTAAAAAGAGAAAGTAAATGGAATTCTTGTGTTAGCAAAGTGATTTTTCTCTCTCGATATGTAATATTTTGACCATATGTAATTTTTTCTTGACCCCTTGGCCTTTAATATTATTCTACACCTGAAGGGTGTAAACAAGTGTTTAATGTCCAGTCTTCAATGAATTTCCAACAGTATTAAAGGTACTTAAAGAGACTATTGACATAAATTGAAGCAATGCAATTCCATCTAATTAAAGAGTGGAATGTTCAATTCACGATGTTACAGGGTTACCCACAAAGGAAGAGACGATTGTACGGAATTTAAGGATACCGTGCACACGTCAGACTAAAGTTAATTTCATGATGGATTAGAATCTTGTAGGTTTTCAGTCTTAGCTCCTCTTATTTAAGAGCTATAAGAAGAAGAATATGTAACTGGATAGTTTATCAGAGAACCCTTACTAATTCATCGGAGATTCCTTACAACATCATCGGAGAGCCTTTTTCTACCTTATCGGAGACCCAATTGCCTTTTCAACGGAGACTCATTACTACCTCATCGGAGACTTCTTCCTACCGTATCAAAGAACCCTTCCTATTTTAACGAAATCCTATTAATCCCTTATCAGAGACCTCTTTATATTTGATTGGAGACCCCTTACTATTTGATAAGAGATATACTTTCTTATCAGAGACCCCTTACTATTTCATAGCAGACCCCTTCTTATCTCATTATAGACCCCTTACTATTTTTACTTACTGGAGACCCCATTTTATCTCATTAGAGACCCCTCGCGTTCTCCTCTGATATTCAACTCTAACTTGTCAGAAACTTTTTACCTCATTTGAGACCCTTGTTGTGCAGGTATTTCGTAAAGAAAGTCTTAACCGTATTTATCCTAGGGGTAACCTCCCCCCCCCCTTATTTTTTTGCGATAACTCAAAAAGTAATTTAGCTAGAAAGTCAAACTCTCTGACTTTTATAATTAACATATAACTTAAGGCTAAAAGCTGGGCTTTTAAACCTGCTGCCTGAGTCCTCAGGCATATTGCCTAAATGCCTTATTTTAGGTATTAAAGTAGGTATTAAAATGCTAATTCATAACAAAGACTATATCCAATTCGTCACTGAATTCCCATGTTTTTTGGGACACCCTGTATAAAATAATATATTCCAGACTAAATCTTTATTAAGACCTACTTCCAGTCATTGGATTCTAACATATCATAGGTCTTAGGCCTATAACAAAAGCAATCATGTTGCGCAATTTTTTTGCAAAGAACTTTTGCACAGACGCCTTTACAGGGAATTTGCACATTTTCAGTTTTTTAATTGAATACACATTTATGTATTAAAAATTTTGCAAATGTTTTTGTACATTTGAATTCGGTGGGTCAAGGGCTTTTCAAAAATGTATAAATTGTTGCAAGTAAAGCATTTATTTGCACATTTTTCTTAATAACTAGATTTTGCAAAAATATTTGGATTGTTGCAAATTTGCCATTCTTTTTTGCAGATTATTGAAGTAGAGCTTAAGGATTTACCTAAAACATATCAAATGTAAAGGATTTATATCACCATAAGAAAATAGAGTGGGGACCTTCCCCCCAGGAACCAGTCATGAAACCAGCCGTCAGGATAAATAGGGTTAATAGAGTATAAATATGAAAAAAATGATTTAAAGGATAGTTAGTGTCTAAGGTTCAGTCAGTACTCTGATTAATTATATTTACTACATTAAACATAGATATAGTGACTCAGTTGTGAGCTGTTTACAATAGTAATACGGGGTTTTACTTAAGTTCCTCATATTGGTTCACAGCAATTAATATTAACTTTCTTTGAACGCCATGATGAGTGTTCCATGTGTAGTGATGTTCCTTCACTTGGGTCGTTTTTGCCAATATTTACTTTACGCGGCATAGTGCAAGAAAAAAAGTTTTAAAAAATTGGTATTCTAAACGTTTGCTTTTATTATGTACTGTCAACTTTTGACACTGACATAAGATGCACGAACGTGTTGTAATGTTCGTTTTTAGAAATGGGTTTTCCATTTTTTTAGGTTAAAAATGTTGCAAAGTTTAATAAAAGCAAACTTCAATAAATACAGTTTTAAAATTTTGAAAGGATTATTAAATTCTTTTAAAAACGATCCAAAACAATTAATTAACAACAATAATTCTGTAATGTTGAGGGCGCATACCGATTCACAACGGAACCCTTTATACCTTTATATGAACAACATTGTAGAAGATATTGTCGTTATTCTAGCTCGGTAAGTGAATAATTCTCACAATCTTTTCCATGTTTTCTCAAAGGAGAAATTTGTAAGTTCTTTTGTTTTCAAAGAACAAAGAAACGTAAAAAAAATCCGTACAGTCGTCTTTGGAGTCTAATCAATTGTTGGTACCCCTGTATAAATTACGGTGTTACTCACAAAGGATAAGACTTCAGAGACGACTGTACGGAATTTAAATTTCATGCTTCATTATATTCAAGATTCTCTGCAACATTAAACTCGTTTTTTTTGACAAATCATTAAAAATGAAATGAGCCATGAATAGATCATTAAGACCTAGTTCAATCTTAGGATCGACATATTTTAAGAGCTTAAAGTCGTCTTTACAGTTTCATCCTTCGTGGGTCCCCCTGTTTATCTCAGAAGCTGACAGAAGTTGTATCATGAAGGTTAATCTCAGCGAATACTACTTTCAAAACGGGGGAAATGTACAGGTTAACCCCCCTCCCCTCATTCTAGTGGAATACCCATTCCTCAACCCTACATTCACCTGCCCCCCACCCCACCACCAATTCTCTACAGTCCATCTTGAACCTGTGCTGTGCTAGGGTTAAATTTTTGCAATGTGCATTGGAGTGTATACTGTTTATCAGTCATGAGAACTATATAACGTTAAAAAGAAAAAACAAACTGATTGCCACGGCGAGAACCAGATAATTTTGGAATGTAAGGACGACTTTTAGACTCAGGATATGATTTTAAGTATAGTTCAATGAACTAAAAAGAGTTAAGGCAGTGTTTACAAAGTATTTCACTTATTAAGTGATTTTAAGCTACTATAATAAAACTCTGCGTCATAACAATATTATTTACACGTAAATGTTGTTCAATGTCGTCTTTCTTTTCCGCAGTTTTCTGGTTATCACTGTATTTAAAACTATGAGTTGACTAAAGGGACATATTTCTAACGACCCTTTCTTCAAAGAGTTTCAAGTTCGATGAACAACGGTACCCTTCAAACCAATATCTACAATGATAATTTAGTTTCGTTTTACATTGAACAGTTAAATTCTTTTAACTTCCTTCTTTTCTTGCAGCATAAATCCGGAAGACATTATGAAAGAAACCCAGTAAAGAATAATTAGTTTTTAGCTAGAAAAAGGTCATATTATCCTTGATAAAAAAGGATAAAAGGGTAACGTTGTGAATTGGACTTTAAAAAAAGGAGATAATTTTGCCTTGACGACCCTTTAAATATGAGAATTATGTTTAAAAATATTAAATATTTCAGAAGTGTCTGTGATGTAAACTGCATATTGTAAATCTTTCTGAATGTTTGTGGATCCAGAAAAAATGGCGTCCAGGAAAAAACTGAATTCGTTTCTGTTTACAATGACAAGTATACTCAGCATATCTTCACTATTCATCTATGTGACATCAGTTCCTTCTAGAACAGTAACTGTTCTTCCCTGGGGAAACTGGAAGACAAGTTCCCCCTGGGCTGGGGATAAAGAATGTGGTGAGTTTGTGACAAGAATAGTTAAACCAGGTAGAGATGGGCACATTCAGCCTTCTTTTTATTAGTTTGTGACAAGAATAGTTAAACCAGGTAGAGATGGGCACATTCAGCCTTCTTTTTATTAGTTTGTGACAGGAATAGTTAAACCAGGTAGAGATGGGCTCATTCAGCCTTCTTTTTATTAGTTTGTGACAAGAATAGTTAAACCAGGTAGAGATGGGCACATTCAGCCTTCTTTTATTAGTTTGTGACTAGAATAGGTAAACCAGGTAGAGATGGGCACATTCAGCCTTCTTTTTATTAGTTTGTGACAAGAATAGTTAAACCAGGTAGAGATGGGCGCATTCTGCCTTTTTAAAATTAGTTTGCTCATCGTTCACTACCCACCCATTTCTTTTTTTCTTCAGAAATTCAATAAAAATTTGAATTCGTTCGTAATCGGAATTTTCCACCTATTTCTTTCGTTCAATGAGATACAAAAATGAGAGTTAGTTAAAAAAGATTGTTGTATCTCTCTGAATGATCCAAAAAGTCATTTGTTAAGTTTTTCTGAAGGACACCATCATTAACAAAAAACGGTCGTTCGATGCTCATCTCTAAAATCAGGAACTATCCCTAGTAGAGCACTTGCCTCCTACCCTGGTTCAGGGAATACTTGGATTAGATATCTTATTGAGGGCGCCTCAGGGATCTATACTGGGTCCATATTTAATGATAAATCAATAGCAAGCGCAGGACATAATGGAGAACTGAGGAATTTCAGCGATGGTTCCACAATCCTTCAAAAGACCCATCACAGAGCTTTATATGTGCCAGCTTATATGAAATATTCCCTGGAATGGAGAACTAACCATATTAAGATGTTTGAGGGTCGTGCAGTTGTTGTTGTTCGTAACCCTTTCAAAGCTATTCTATCCTACTGGAATTATATCAGTACAAAAAGCCACACCGCGTCTGCCGACAACAACAGCTTGCTGTCGCCAAAATTCCAGGATTTTGCTTTTGTTGGAATCAACCGCTGGTATGAAGTCATCTCTGATTGGCTTGACTACGGAACAGATGTTTATTTTGTGTTCTATGAAGATCTCCAAGAGAATCCTGTAAACGAAATAAAATCCCTGTTTGACCATCTGGGAATGGAGCTAGACCCGAACAGACTAAAGTGTATACAGAAACATCTGACTGGAAGCTTTGAGAGAAAGAAGCATATTGATGAGAATCCGTTTTCTTTAGATCATCAAGCTTTGTTCAGACTTGTTATTGATCTTGCCAGCAAGAGGATAGAGGAGAAAACAGGAAAATCACTTCCAGTTCAGAAATATACCTATTATAAGATGGATACCACAAATGTACCTTAATAAAAAATATATATTTTGTTTTTGTAAGATTAATATATTTTTTACAATCTACAAATGAATAAAAGCCATTTATAAACAATTTGATCAAGCATTGATCTCCATCTTCTGCAAATCTGCGGATTAATTTAATTCCTTTTCGATATAAAGTGATGGTTTTACCCTTGACAGGTAACTTTGATTACGGGATCAAGCATTGATCTTCAAATTGAAAAGTGCCCAAATTGGATTTCGAGATAAAACATTTAAGATTAACACTATCCACACAAAATTTCCGATCTTTAAAATTGATGAGAAATAAAGTATTTTGACGCGGTTAAAAATACTAAATTTTTTAAATCTCTGTAGCAATAGAAAACCATGTAAATTCAAACTTTGGGATTCATTTTGAATGATTTAAAAACCCTTACTTCAAAAATCCGAGAAATGAAAATGTTGAATTCGATTCTTTTATTATTTTCTAAACTTACAATTTGGGTAACAAAGGGTAATAATGATAACAAAAATAATAATAATAATAATAATAATAATGATGATAATAATAATAATAACAATAATATTTACCACACGGCCAGTCTTTCTTTCTGCCGAATTGCATGAGAACAAAAACCTAAAAAATTGGATCATTCAAAATACGCTATATTTCTAATTCATGCAGAAAGTCCCAATAATCCTTAAAGAATAGGAAAGGCTAATTTTTATTTCATTCAATAATATTATATATTTCTATTATATACATATTTCACTTGATAGTAGATATTTAAGAAAATGTGAATCTATTTTTTATTCAACACTTCCTTTCTGAATAAATCTAATACAGTCTTATTCTTAAAATGATCTTGTCTTGTTAACATATTTTATATTCTCAATATTTTGAATTGTTTTTTAGAGAAAGACGACCTTTAATAGTCGGCACTACTCTTTTATTCAGATTTTTTGGGAACACTTATATATATCTATATATATATATAAAATACTCAGTAGTTCACATAAAAAATGACACACAAATGAAGAACTTAAACTCAAAATAGAATAATCTGAAGGTTAATTTAGGCCGTTTGCCGAATGTTTAGTTTTTAATGGTATATCAGAAAGAAAAAAGACCAAAACTACTGGCGACCATTACTTTAATTTGAATTTAAAATTATTTTCCTATTTCAAATTTAAAGTGATGTTAACGGTATACATTTGAGCGTGATTTCCAGCCCTTTTTTAAAAGAGAATTTTAAAATAAGGCTTTTAGGGCGCTTCGCGGCCAGTTTCTGATTCAACTTTTAATTGTGGCTTAATCTGTGAGCATCTTCTCTTTGTATACATTTTTTTTTATTTGCGGATTTCATAATATTTTTTCGCACATTTTCAAAATTTTACCAAATTAAACAATTTAGGATGAACATATTTTAAGATTATTTAAGATTGACCATAAACTTTCCCCGGGGCCACGTGAGGTCCCACTTCAAATTTGGGCCTGATCGGTTCAGCCGTTTTGACGTTTATTGGATACAAACAAACAGCTAAATTTATATATAGAAGATAGAGGATGATTGGATTGGATCTATCATTGTATACATCTGATAATAAATTAGCGTGATTTTCTAGCCCTTTTTTAAAAGAGAATTTTAATATATTGAGGTTGGATTGGATTGGATTGGATCAATCATTGTACAACGAATACATCGGAAGAATTTATCAAATGTCGTCTTGACAATTTTTCAATGAGTTTTATACTTTATTACGTAAATTGTAAGTATTTAAGAAAAAATAAATAGCCATGAATATGCGGGAACAGCTTTAAAGAGTTCCATATAATCATTTAATTAAAAAACTAAATATCTGCAACATTCCATTATCAGAAAGTGAAGAATACGACATTTGATGAAGTCTTTCGATGTATTCGATATTAAGGGTTTCACTGTATACATTTTCAAATAAATTTGATGAATAATAAATACTAAAATATTGTAGGGTTTTAAGTTGGAAGTTTTGACTAAAAATAGAATAAGAATGACAAAAGTACACTAGTTATTCATGCTGAAGTAAAAATTAAAGCAAAAATATTAGTAGAATACAACAGAACTGTAGACAGGGTTACCCACAAAGAATGAGACTTCAGAGACGACTGTGCGGAATTTATTCTGTCTGTTTCCTTATATTCACGATTCCCTGCAACATTAAACTTGTTTCTTTCTTTGCTAATTCATTATATAAGCCATTATATTATATTTAAGGCCGACTACTTAATTTAAATCGTCATATTTTTCGGTCGTCTTTACAGTCTCATCCTTTGTGGGTAACCCTGTTTATAAACCATATTTATATTAACTATAAAGGAGCAAAGTTTTTGCCACAAAATCAAATATTCTAATGCCTATAGTTTTGCAACATGATGGTGTAGACATTTCAAACTTTGATTGTTTGATATAACAGAATGCATAGTTTAAAATATCTAATGTTTGAAATATTGAGTTGGGAAGATATAGGGATAAGAAAATCAGAGTTTGTGGCAAAGACTCAATTTCTTTATATTTCAAGTGACCCTTTATTCAAGATTCACACCAGTCCCTTTAAACCTTAATCTAAGCAATATTGTGGGAGATGTAAACGTCGCGCCTTAAAGGCTTAAAAAGTGTTCAATTCTGATTTCTTTTTCATTGTTTCTTCAGCAAGAAATCCACCAAGAAGTCATTTTGCAGAGAAAATAGATGGAAATATAAACGGTAAATATCTACATAATTGATCTTTTATCAGCTCATGAGACCGTTAACGTTGTCAATCGAACATTTAACACTTTCATTGAACGGTTTTGAAAAACGGTCTAAAACATTGTTTTACAATCTTTCAAAGTTTTCCTAAGTTTTCAATTTTTAGCCTCTAACTCATTCAATTTTCGAAACTTTAAATTTAAATTTATCATGAAATTTCAGAAAAATTAAGTAAAACCCAACCTTTTATTATTGTGAGAAGGCGGGGGGGAGGTGAAAACCAACAAATTACAAACTTGAAATCAGTTATGTCACTCTTCAAAATTCCAGAGAGTGATATGTTTTGAAACCCTCCCCCCCTTTTATGGTTACAACAAAAAAGTTATGTTTGAAAGAGTAAAGGTCAAAATTTAAATCTTTAGTACAGATCTTCCCATTCAGAATGCTTATATGGACATTACTTTATATTAGAGTTCACACCCGACTAACCAGAGTGAGCAGCATTCGGTTTCTTCTATTTGAAATCAAACGTGTTTTGGTCTATAATTCAATAATCATTTACTTTACGGATTTGTTTATTTAATACATTTTTATTCAAAATGCATATGCCAACAAAAAAGTATTTAAGAAAAAAGGCTAACAAATTATGTTTAATGTGTCAAATTGTGATCGAAAGTCACAGCTTTCTAGAATATTAACAGAACCGTTAAATCTTTGTTGTAAAGTATTTGTTTAATGTATACAGTGAGAACCAGAAAACAATGGAATTAATGTTGTCAAACCAAATATGTTTATAAGATACTTATAAAATCATTAATAAAGTGAAATGTGTCTGTTCACACTGCTCAATTGAGTCTAAAAGTCGTCTTCCCATTTCTGAGTTTTCTGGTTATCACTGAACTTAAAACATACAGCTAGGGGTCTCAATAAACATGGGGAATTAAGTGACGACTTCTATATTGTCGTTGTTCTGTTTTCATCAACTATCAGAAATAGAAGATAATTTTCAAGTCGTTTCATAATTCCCTTGTGTTAATGGGACACCCTGTATTATTCGGACATTGTTTACTGCTTTGACTATAATGTATATTAGATGTATATTAAATGTCTTATGACATATGACTGACAAAGCAAGGATAAAACATGGAGAAAAATGGAGAATACATTATGATATTTTTCCCTGAATGACTGGGGTTTTCTATTTACAACATCACAGAAAAAATATATTTCTTTAAAGGGACTGTTGGCATAATTTCGAGTGTCTGCATGAAAATTGATAGCTTGGAATTGTTGCTTGTCTATGAAAGTTACTTGTGGATTTTTGCAGGAGAAACGAGAAAAAATTTGGCAAAATTAACACCTGCTATTTTTATTTCATTGTTTCCCAAAAATAGTAAAGGATACAGTGGCTAGGGGCTTAATTAAGGCCTAAGGGGTCACTTACAATTAATTTCAAACTTCCTTTAACATGCAAAAACAAAAACAACTATTAGTCTCACAATCAAAGCATGTTGTGTTATAAAAAAGAAACACAAAAGGAAAAAACTTGAATGTTTTATACTTTTATATATTTGTTTCTACAAAGGTTAGAGGGCATTTGCTTCGTTCAAACGGTTTCAGAACAAACACCTTTAAATATAACTTTTTATATGCAAAATTTAATTGATTAAAAACATGTTTTAGAACTTTACTTCAATTTAAGATTAATTTTTAGATTGAAAAAAATTTAATAAAAAATTAAATGGATTGTGCACATATTTGGAAAATACTAGAGGTGCCAATTATTGAACACAGGGTTCTCAAGTTAAAAAGATATTTAAGAATGTAAAAAACGAAAAACCGAAAACAATATAAATAATGTTCATTTTACAATGAATCCAAAATATTTTTCAGACACACATAATTGTAATTCTTCAAAAAAAAATGGAAACATTTTTGATAACATTTTAAGGTTAATCGGTTTAAAAAGATCTTTTACAAATTGCTAAAACTGTCATAAACTTTTTTTGGGATAATTCGCGACTAAAAATATGGCGGTTGCACTATTCACCCTCTGTTCATTGATTGGTACCCAACGCACTCAAATATATTTCAATCCAAAAAAAGTAAATTTTAATGAACCAAGGTATTTAGAAAACGGGTAGGATAACTTCTACCTTTAATATATTTACAATGGAAAATAAAATTTTACTACTCCTCCATTTTTAAATGGCATTATTTCGTGAAAAAAAACTCAAGCTTCTAATTATTCCGAAAAACTGGATTTTTTTCCAGCCTTCGGTGAAGTATTTGTACAGTGGGTCCCATAAAACTGCGGATAAGAAGACGACTTTTTTTTATTTAAAAACACAGCCTTTAAGCGATGTGCACAGACCTAGTTTTCAAGGTTTATATTCAAGCTATGCTGGTAATTAAATTTTTGCTTAACATTAACAACACATATGATTGCTTTAATGTCGTCTTCCTATTATGAGTCCTACTGTACTATACATATATGTGTGTACTGTATGACCTGGTCAGTGGGTAGAAGTTTAAAATTATCTGGCGGATTTGTGATGACATAACGTTTAGCACTAGCATTGAAGGAAAGAGAGGTGTCGCGAAATCTGAAAAAGTTGAAATGATTTGAAATCTTTTAATCAAAAAAAGGAATAATTCAGAAATGTCTTTGACCCTGATTCAAATCGAACTGTATTCATAAAGGAACTGAGTTTTGTCGCAAACTCTTGTATTCTAATCCAAATATCTTTGCAACCTGATAGTGTATATCTTTGATATTTCAAATTAACATTATTTTATCTAACAGAATTCACAATTTGAAATATTTAAGGTCTACGATATGTAGGATGCAGAGATAAGGAGATTATTAGCTCAACCGGTAAATTGCACTCTGCAAAATATTCTTAAAGATTAAATTTAAGGTTTTTCTAGAATCATAATGTATGGAGTACATAATCTTCAATATTCATCATAATGCAGATCAATATTTTCTTAACTGGTATGTAAATAAAGGAATTTATTTTTTGCCACAAACTCTGACTTTCTAATCCCCATTTCTTTGCAACCCGATGTCGTAGACCTTATAATTTCAGACTATGAGTTCCAGATCAAATAATCAAAGTTTAAAATGTTTACAAATGTTTACACCATAATGTTGCAAAGATATAAGAGCTAATAGAAAATTTGAGTCTGTGGAAAATTCTTCGTTCTCCTCAGAATATTCTTTTTAGATTTTTCTTGAACCATAATTTATGTAGTCTATAATCTAATCCATCTTCAATATACATCATTATTCATTAGAGTTTAATAATCTTTCCACAAACATATCTTACACAGATAGAACATGAGAGATAGTTGTTGTTTTAGGTCTGTAACATAACACTCTTTTAAGGGGACTAGTAAACGTTCAGAGCACACTCTTAAAGGGACTAGTAGACGTTTAGAACACACTCTTAAAGGGACTATGTAGACGTTCATAACACACTCTTAAAGGGACTATGTAGACGTAATATAAAATGATCCTCCATTTATAGAGTGGTATGTCTTTTACTTGACGGCTCCCTTCAAACCTTTGTCTAAGTCTTATTTAGTCATCTCTTATAATAATAAAAAACATTTTTGAATTAAAATGAAAAATGAAGTATTCCAAACAAAATATATATTTTTCTTGTCAATCTATATAATCTATGTTTTTAATCTTTCTTCCCTACCTAACTCAAATATTATAAATTAAACTTAAACAATATTCTGCACCATGCTCATGTACCCCTTCTCATGTGAATCCCATTTTCGGCTTTGAGCAGAAACCTGATACAGGGCTTCCCAGACCCAGACCCAGAAAGGATGAGACTTGAATGACGACTTTAAACTCTTTGAATGTGACAATTGTAATTGTTTAATTTGGGGAGTATACTGCCTTGAACCTATATATAGTCTTTAATTCGTTTATTTCAATATCTTGGTAAAGGTAGTGAGATGTATAAAACTGCAGGAACCATGGATGTAAGAAAAAAGTATGAATAAATTCCGTACAGTCGTCTCTGAAGTTTCATCCTTTGTGGGTAAAAAAAGTATAACAAAAACCAAAAATCTTCAGTCATTGGATACAAAATATCTGTTCTCTGAAATCACGCATGCCTCGGATCGAGTCCGTATGAATAAAAAAGTAATCTAACCTGTAAAGACCGATACATAGAACCCCAAAGTTTCTAAGACAAGCAACAAAAAGGTCAGAATATGTCCCTCCGTCACCAAGTTTGGCCAGAGGTCCGTCAAATATTGGGACCTGGCCAATCCGACATCGGTCTCGGTTATTCAGAGTTTTAGGAGTAGAATATCCTAGGATTAAAAAGGACTGTAGATATAATGTGTTTTAGGAATTTTCCTAAAAGTAATTTTCAAAGACCGACTTCCCAAGTAGAGTTTCCATGAAATTACCAGAAAGAAATATTCTGCGTTCTACTTCGCGAATTGAGTTTATTATAAAGTTTCGCTAATGTAAATCCTATTCCCAAGTGACAACTTCCCAAATGGAACATTTCTAAAGTGGAAACTTCCCAAAGGTTAGGCCAGGTCTAGGGGCCGATCGCTGCGACAAGGATGTGGATAGGGGTCGAGCGCTACGACAAGGATGTGATAGGGGTCGAGCGCTACGACAAGGATGTGATAGGGGCCGAGCACTGCGGCTAGAACAGACTTGGGAAGTGACCGTTTTGGAAATTACACATTTGTGAACTTGCCCCTTGGGCAAATACCATTGGGAATTTCCGCGCTTGGGAAAATGCCAAACATCTTTTAAAGTGACTTTTTTACAGAGTGGATTGTCCATGTCCAGTTCACAGCGGTAACCTTTAAAGCTTTGTCTAGTCAGGAGAGATAGCCATGTCTTTCTCTTTACAAATCAATTATTTTCAAATATGTTTCTCAATTATAGTAATTGGCGCAGTTCCGCTTCAAAAAGAATGGGAAAATGTTGATAGTTAAACAATTTTCAGGCTAAAAAACGACTATATTTTTTTGAGATAATGGTGTTAAGGGTATCATTGTGAATTGGGCAGGTAGTTCTGGAAAAAGAGAACCATTTAAAACTACAATGACTATCCCTTTCCCTTCCAAAAGAAAAAAATAAGTTTTATAAAAAGAAAAAAATTGCAAAGAAATGTCAGAGAATGTCTATGACAAAGAAAAGACAGAGTATCATATTCCAAAAAATGTGCAGAAACGTTCCAAGAAAAAGCATGGAAATCTTTTTTTTAAAAGGGGTCCAAAATCTTGTTTTGTACCTCCTCTAAGCCCAGCTCCTTCTGCTAGTATCTGTTCTAGTGTGTGGGTAGCTCCTCCAGTAATCAAAGATCTGATTAGGGTTAACGCGTTTGGGTTGAAGTACGTCTAAAACAAGGGATATTTACTTTGAGAGCTAGAAACCTTTGGCATAGGAAGACGATATTAAATCAGTAATTGAGTGTATTTGATGTTGTTACAAAACAATTAGTCAACTATGTAACTTAGGAAATCAGTTATTAAGTGTATTTGATGTTGTTACAAAACAATTAGTCAACTATGTAACTTATGAAATCAGTTATTAAGTGTATTTGATGTTGTTACAAAACAATTAGTCAACTATGTAACTTAGGAAATCAGTTATTAAGTGTATTTGATGTTGTTACAAAACAATTAGTCAACTATGTAACTTAGGAAATCAGTAATTAAGTGTATTTGATGTTGTTACAAAGCAATTAGTCAACTATGTAACTTAGGAAATCAGTTATTAAGTGTATTTGATGTTGTTACAAAACAATTAGTCAACTATGTAACTTAGGAAATCAGTTATTAAGTGTATTTGATGTTGTTACAAAACAACTAGTGTACTATGTAACTTATGAAATCAGTTATTCAGTAAAATGGGGTTGTTTACACCATACAATTCCTGTATCTTATTCATGTAATTATTGGAATATTTAAAGTCATAATATATCAATTCTCTCTATTATACAAGCTCGTCTAAAGTCCCTGCTCACATTCTCAACTCCCTGGCCAGGAACAGCTGATTCCATTAAGTTTTTTTTCAATTTGCCAAGCGAAGAGGAGCAAACGATGGATTGGAACAGCAGTTTATGTGAGTATTATTGCGTGTTCATGATGGATTCTGGAAGATTGTTTCTGCTCAATCACACCTTACCGTTTTAGTTTTGGCGAGTGCAGACTTTCTTGCCGTATTCTTTCTTTTTCAAAATCTTTCAAAATCTTCTAAAATCCACAATGAAACCGTGAACTGCCGCCACAGTATTTTTAGCAAACTATTATTACTGTAGAATTCGTCGATTGAGAGAATTAACATTTTTTGCGTAATGACCTCTAAAACTAAAAAAATGTAGCAAAAAAATTGAAGTCTTATAGTCGTCTTCCTATTTTATATCTGTTTCTCACTACATCTAGTTTATTTCACTATGAATGTAATTATTCATCCCATGTACTACTAAGTTTTGCAAATTGCTCTAGTTACCCTGAAGACTGCCAGTTGTTCGTTTATTAAACAAGAGTTTCCAGTAAGTGGGTTATTTTGCTACTGTGTAATCATCTCAACGTTACATTTGGCGATTAAATTGTATTAAACAATGTAAAAAAATCGAACAAAATATGTCGATAAAATCTTCAAATAACGTTTTGGTGTTAAAATCATCAGCGGCGTATCATTTCATTTTTTAGACCAGCTGTATGTATACTTACTGTAGACATTAGAGAATCGAGGACGCTAACAGCAAACACAGTTCCACAAGCAAAGGGTTGAGTCAAGTACAATTCAGTATCAGGGTCGTCATCATCATCATCAGGATCAAGAAACTAAACATAATCATCATTATCATCATTATCATCATTATCATCATTATCATCATTATCATCATTATCATCATTATCATCATTATCATCATTATCATCATTAATATCATCATTATCATTATTATCATTATTATCATCATTATCATCATTATCATTACCTGGACATTACTATCGTTAACGAGCTCTGTAATCATCGGCATACTAGCTCCAAATACAGTTCCGCGTCGCTGCAGTACAATTGGGGTTCCTAGGGGGCTCCTACTATCACAGATTGATGGATCTTAACAAAGAAATATTCATAGATCAATCAATCCATCAAATATATAAAAATAACGAAATTAAAAACAGCTGTGTCTATTGGTTGATTCTGTAAAAATGTTTTTGCTTAGAATCGTCCATTTATGTCATTACGATCACTCTAAATACAATTGTACAGCGTTATATACGTAAACATATCGTGATGTACACAACCGACCTCTCAATTAATTAATAGGGAGGTCGGTTGTGTACATCTGAGCTAAGCTTTACCTATTCGTTTTATTACTCTATGATTTATTTCGAAAAACAGCGTACAGACGTTGCAGGGTTGCAGCTAATACTGCAGACCTGTTTTTTGTCTGGGGAAAAGTTTATAGAGCATCCAATGTTTGTTTATGAGTTTGGGTGTTTGTTTGTTGTTAAACTTTCTAGCTTTAAATAAGATGCATCAAAACCTTCAACAATAGGAGGAATCGGATAAGATAACATTGACAGGTTATTTAAAAATTTTCTTTTCATTGAGGCGTTTCAAAGCAATTTTATATACAGTGGTAGGCGATTATATCCATACAAGGAAAACAACTTTTTTAATATAAATTTAATAGCTAACAAGCTTTTTTCGAATTACAAGTTTACAAGTAATCAAAGGGGTAGCTTTTTTTTAATTTGACAGCTTCTCATGACTGCTAAGTCTAAGTAAGCCTACCACTGTACAAGAAAATTGTTATTGAATATCTGCAAAAGTGTGGCAGTGTGGCAGTGCGGTGTAACTTAGGAAATCAGTTATTAAGTGTATTTGATGTTGTTACAANAGTGTGGCAGTGTGGCAGTGTGGCAGTGTGCCAGTGTGGCAGTGTGGCAGTGTGCAAGTGTGCCCTATCAGTAAGAAATGTGCAAGTCACTTTCCCAGAGAAAACGAAAGTAAAACGCTGAAATAAACAAAAACATTGATATCTAATTCATACTTGATTAAACAAAGCTTTAAATGGTAGTGTTGTAAATCTGGCATTGTCATATTTGCATTGAGGGTAAAATAAAAATTGCGTGTTCAGCCCCTTTAATACCTTTATTTAAAATAATTTCAGAGTAATGGGAGGATTAATGAAGGGATAACTTGTCACTCGGATAATATTGAAAAAAATGTTGTTTTGATTTAGATTTTATCATCTTGAAATAATCAGACTTACTTTTCAACAATGCCCCGAAAGTATCGTCAAATGTCATCGCCTTGATGTTCAGAGTGGCGAGGATCGCCTCCTTGTCCGCCAGGGCGGAGTCATCGTTGGAGGAGGGGACCTTAACATAGGATACATTGGTAAGCGATTATGATACAATGAAGACGACTTTCGATTTAAATTTTGATTTATATCAAGCTGTTAAGCAGCATGGATATTGGATACACATAAACAAAGAAGTCAAGAGAAGCTGCCAATTAAAAAAGTTTCTCTTTGATAACTTGTTAATTTGAAATTCGAAAAAATCTTGTTAACAATCAAAATTTAAATAAAAAGTCGTCTTAACTGTATTGATATAATGGCCTTCCACTGTAGGTTAGCCATTTTTTTCGAATAAATTTGTTTCTGAAAGGCCTTGCGTATCCTTTCCTAATCCTATTAATAATGATAAACTGTTAAATACATTTTGACCGATTTAAAAATAGATTTAACCATATAGTTGCTACACAGAGCTAGGTGTGGCATGTTTAAAAGGTTTACGGGAAGATTATTCCATCTGGAAATTGCCAATCCTAGATGAATATTATGTATGCTGATATTGCTGATAATATTTAAATAAGAAGAGGACAGCTAGGTTAGCCAAGCCTAGACGAATATTATGTATGTTAATATTGCTGATAATATTAAAATAAGAAGAGGATAGCTTAAAAAAATAAAAATTTAATTGATTTCTAACCTTTGCTGAGAGTATAACGCACATATCACAAAGATTTACATTTACAGCTCTCAAATCTTCCCGGTTTTTCGGACAACCCTAAAATAGTTTAAATAAGTTGAACAGCCCTAATATAATTAGTATTTGTTGTTGATGTTAGGACAACCCTAACATAGTTTAAATAAGTTGAACAGTCCTAATATAATTAGTATTTGTTGTTGATGTTAGGACAACCCTAACATAGTTTAAATAAGTTGAACAGCCCTAATATAATTAGTATTTGTTGTTGATGTAAGACAACCCTAAAATAGTTTGAATAAGTTGAACGGTCCTAATATAATTAGTATTAATGTTGTTGATGTTAGGACAACCGAAAAATAGTTTGAATAAGTTGAACAGCCCTAATATAATTAGTATTTGTTGTTGATATTAGGACAACCCTAAAATAGTTTAAATAAGTTGAACAGTCCTAATATAATTAGTATTAATGTTGTTGATGTTAGGAAAATCCTAAAAAAGTTTGAATAAGTTGATCGAACAGTCCTAATATAATTAGTATTTGTTGTTGATGTTAGGACAACCCTAAAATAGTTTGAATAAGTTGAACGGTCCTAATATAATTAGTATTAATGTTGTTGATGTTAGGACAACCGAAAAATAGTTTGAATAAGTTGAACAGCCCTAATATAATTAGTATTTGTTGTTGATATTAGGACAACCCTAAAATAGTTTAAATAAGTTGAACAGTCCTAATATAATTAGTATTAATGTTGTTGATGTTAGGAAAATCCTAAAAAAGTTTGAATAAGTTGATCGAACAGTCCTAATATAATTAGTATTTGTTGTTGATGTTAGGACAACCGAAAAATAGTTTGAATAAGTTGAACAGTCCTAATATAATTAGTATTTGTTGTTGATGTTAGGACAACCCTAAAATAGTTTAAATAAGTTGAACAGTCCTAATATAATTAGTATTTGTTGTTGATGTTAGGACAACCCTAAAAGAGTTTGAATAAGTTGAACAGCCCTATTATAATAAGTATTTGTTGTTGATGTTAGGACAACCTAAAATAGTTTGAATAAGTTGAACAGCCCTAATATAATTAGTAATTGTTTCTGATGTTAGGACAACCGTAAAATAGTTTAAATAGGTTGAACAGTCCTAATATTTTGCGTTGATATTGAGCCAAATAAAAATCAAATTTAAGATTTTTTAGAATATAATAATAATAATAATAATATTTTTAAATTTTTTAAGTAATAATAATGAATAACCTTCAAAATAAAAATCTATCAAAATTTAAAAGAAAATCCTTTTTATATTTAGATTGAGAAAATCCCGTATTTCTTATTTCTATTAAATCTGCTAGTTCATTTATTATAAATGTTTTCCTCGGTAACCTACATGAAAAAGTTGAAGTTTATATCGTACATTTCAAGTATAATTTATCAAAAACATGGCTATACAGTATAAACACATACTTACTGATAAAATAGATATTTTGGGAAGGTTCTGCAGAGTTTTCCATTCTCGTTTGATATAGTCAACCTAAATTTAAAAAAAACATTATTGAGAAATTTATATTTTTAATTTATTGATAAAAATTTAAGTTTATTACTATTTTACCCAAAATATTTGTATTTCTTAAAGCATTTTTTAAAAAGTTGATGTTTATATATTGCCAATTTTATTATTTAAATTCTCTAGTTTTTTAAAAATAGTTATTTTTAAGCAGTGTCTATTAAAGGACCTGTAGAAGTGGCCCTATAATATATGATATATATTATATACAGAGTGAGTCAAAAAAAAAGTGTGATTTGCGGCGCCTGGAGCAAAATTGTACCTCCTGAATTGTGTTTTTTCAATATTTTTTGAAAATTTGTAATTTTTTGGGTAATTCATTGGTCCCAAAAAAAATCCGCGAACCTTTTCTTCTCTCAAAATCAAAAGTTCAGAAAAACAAAAATGTGTAAATAAATTACTTCTATCGAAATCTAAAATTTTAAAAAGATTGAATCACAGAATCTCAAAAAATTTGCAAAATTGAAATAAGAAAATTCGCAATTTTCAGTTCTGGTCTAATTTTTACGGATTTTTTTTCAATTTTCAATTACCAAAAAAGTTATAAAGTTTCAAAAAATATTGAAAAAACACCATGCAGGAGAGTTGCACAATAAAAGGTACAATTTTGCACCAGGCGCCGCAAATCACACTTTTTTTTGACTCCCCCTGTTTTTAAAATTTATGGCATGCCCGATTCTCAAAGCGGTTACTGTTTACAATCTTCATATTAGAAACAATAGAAAAAAGCGTCGTTTTTCATTTTTGTTTTCGCTGCATAAAACCGGCAAGTAACTTTTATAGAGAAATCATAAATAATCAGAATTAATAAATCTTACTTCTGACAAAGGTTTAAACGATTAATTTAAGTATTGAGTATAAATTTCTTTAAATAAATTAAAAATCTACACAGTTCCTTTTATCAGTGATGTAATTTTAACGTATATAAATACTAGGCTTTAAAGGCGCTTCCCTCCTTCTTCTATTTCATTTGTAAACATTTTCTCTTTGTATACTTTATAAAACAAAACAAAAAATTCACGGATTTAAAAAAAAATATTTCGCCCATTTTCAAAAATTTTTCAAAAACCTAATTTTGTTAGAGGTAAATTTTTGAAAATTCGATCATCCATAAACCTTTCCCGGGGTCATGTGATTGGGCCCAGTCGGTTTAGCTGTTTTGCCGTTTATTGGATACAAACGGACAGACAAACACCAAGACAAGCTAAGTATATATAGATAGTAATCTATTCATAAAGTATCTAACTTTCTATTTATCTATTTATCAATTATCTGTTAGATAGTTGTACTCTTGATGAATTATAATTCAGGGATTGCTTGTTTAAAACCTGTAAATTGGCAAAAAAATTAGTATTGTCATTTCTGAAAAAATTAAAAATTTTCTCTTTTGACAAAGTCCAAAAAAGGTTTTAGAAGATCAAGTTTTTAATGAAGAAATTATTGTTTTTTTTAAATGATCGACCAAAAGTACTTTTTTCTTGTTTTATTTGCATTTTTCTTTCCTTTTTTGTGCCAAATGTTATCGGCAACAAAATCCAAATTTTGTCAAGAAGATGTTGTTAAAAAGCCGATTTTCTCAAAAATATTTTTTTAAGTGGGTGGATAGTTAGGTTGTCAATTTTCCCCGGATCATACTGGAAAGACAGTTTATATATTTGCTTTTAAACTTTCTGTTTAAATGTTTTAATAATTTACAACCTTGTTTGCCGAGTATTCTATTCCTTAGAAATTTTAAACCAAATATTTGGGAGAAAAGTACAGACTTTTGTATTAAAGTATTTTTCAACAAACAGAGAAAAACGTTAATTGATAAAGTACCTTGAGGCAGAATAAACAGTGAGACACACTGCATTGATAATCGATTAAATAAAAATAGATAAGTATTTTCAAACAATAACAGGTATATCACTCTAGTATGTCGAGTCCATTAGCGCCTGATCCAATCAGGGTTCAGCCATGTGTTTGGTGTCTATTCTGAACCAATAGAAATTGCATGGCAGTAACGTCTATCTTTCTATCTAGCTCATTATCCAATTAGAGATAAATCCTTATAAATTGAAATATTTACTTCTACTGAAACTATGGTGATAAATATACTGATCTATAATTGTCAAATTTGATCCAAATGATAAAATTAGATTTGTTTCCCCTGGTATTACCTCTCCCACTATCACAACGTGCTTTAGTTCATTGAAATGGAAATTGGAAGCTCTGAAACATAAACAATTAATTATGATTTAATTTTATTTAGAGTAATGATTTAAGAATATTTAGAAGTTATTTCAAGGCTGAATTAAAAAAAAGTTTAAAGAAAATATTTTTAAAGCAATAAATTTGAATAGAGTAGGCCCATTTGAAATAAAGTAAATGACTGCTTGATCCAGCGGAATTGATTTTGAATTTAAAAATTTTAAACTGTTGACATTAATGTTAAAAAGTAAAAATATTGGAATTAAAGTAAAAAATCACCTTAAAGGCATCACCAGATTCCTTAAACCGATCAAAGGTGAATCCACATTTGCGAACAGACAAACCTTGGGGAAAAATCATCTTTGACATATTTGAATTTTTAAAAAGTTTTAATTTGATTTTATTACCACAACATGTCCGTTTAACACTGTCATGGCTGCTTCTTTCTTATCCTGAAATATTAAAAACATCAGAATATATGAAACGAAAAACACAATATTTTAATTCCTAAATTTTTACTTGTGGAAAAAAAATAATATTTTTGGTAAGAATAAATTATTTTTTTGAGGAAAAGTACACAAAAAAGTAAAATAACATTTAAATTTTTTTTTAGCAAATAACTTACGATAATACAATCTTCGATTGCTCTTGCAGGGGTCCAATGGAACATCCCTGTACTGTCATACCTGGATTTAATTTTAATATTGAAAAAGAGATTATGTGAAGATTTTATTCTAAACCTCATGTTATATTTGAGTTCATAATCACTTGGTAAAAAATCTTTTTTGTTATTTGATTTTTTAAAGATTCCGCATATTTTATTTACATATTTCTTAAATTGTCAATCTATGTTAATTAATGTTGCAAATAATATGTTTTAATCTGGTTAATGGCTGAAGTATGATATTGTCTAAAAAGATCCCTCTCTCCAAATAGATTCTAGTACAATAGATGGCAACGTAGAATTTGTACACTCTCAGTACAGTTGTATTCTGTCGTCACAAGTGTCAATTCAGTTTTTGTGTCCGACAAAATCCTCAATAGGGATAATTTTAGAATAAAGTGCTTTTATTACAGTAAAATAAGATCAATTTTATGTGTTCTTTAGTTTCTGTTTTTACACTTTTTTATTTAATCTTGAAAAACATGTCAACTAATTTGAGAAAATTTCGTTTTCCTTGTTATATTTGACACTTGTGACGTAGTCAGGGGCGGATACAGGATTTAAGTGAGGGGGGGGGGGCAAGATTTTTAGGAACAAAAAATTCATAATTGGGAACAAAAAATCGCGCCATAGGGAACATTTTTTTGACTTAAAAGACTCAAAAAGAGTCAAAATTAATGACTAAAGACTAAAAACTAGATTTTTAACTTATCACGCATTATAGATTATAGACAAATATTTTTCCTGTTTTGCACTAGGGTTTCTTTTCCTTAACCATGCTATTGAGAAGCTATTCTGAAAATAGGAACAAAAAATTCCAAATTAAGGGGGGGCTACGCCCCTCCCTGAATCTGTCAGGGGGGGGGGGCGAATGTCCGCCCCCTTTATCCGCCCCTGGACGTACTGTATAATTGGTTAATTTCTCTGTTGCCACCTATTTTACTTAATCTATTTGCCTCTCTCTATATGTATATTGAAAAAACTTTAAGCAGTAACCCATGTAACAAAAGTGAGGAATTTCCCCAGATTCTCCAACCGTGGTGACTTTCTTTAAGGAATTTCCGAGGAATTTCTCGAGAATCATTTCCTGTAACTAATTCCTCGGAAATTCTCGAGAAATTCCCTAGAATTGGTCCCTAAGATGAGAGATTTTTGTGGGATCACAATTTTGAGACTCAGTTTCGAGAAATTCTCCGGAATTTTTCCCCACGAAATTCCTCAGAATTTCTCCAGAAATATTCTCTGGAAATTTCTGAGAAATTCTTAGGACTTTGTCACCATGTTTACGGATGTTTAGGGGAATTTACTAAGAGAATTAGTTTCGAGAAATTCCTGGGAATTTCTCCGGAATTTCACACCAAAAAATTCCTGAGAAATTCTCCGGAATGCTTCTCCGGAAATTCCTGAGAAATTCTTAAAACTTGGTCACCAAGTTTACGGATTTTTCGGGAATTAGATAAGAGAATAAGTTTTGAGAAATTCCTGAGAATTTCTCAGGAATTTTTCTCAAGAAATTCCTAAGAATTTCTCAGGAATGTTTCTCCGGAAATTCCTGAGAAATTCTCAGGACTTCCTGACAGAATTTTCAAGTTCCGTTTTTCACCAATAGGTGTCTCTGAGGTTCTCTTCTTTTATGCACTGCTCAAACTAAATCTTTTTTCTTTGCATCCTTATTGATAAAAAATGATAATTTACTTCAGAACCATCTTTTAAAAAAATATTTAAAAATTTAAAAAATTTTTTTTTATTTTTTCTTGACAATTCACTTGTCTGAATAAACAAAATACATGACAACTTCAGTAAGATCAAAAACGACTATAACATTCTGAATTAAGAAGATGGTTAGGTTATACTTCTAAAAAGTTGGAGAGCAATATAGTTGTTAAGTTATTCACTACTTTTGTTAGTGAATATTTCAAGATATTCCTGAGGAACTCTTGAGAAAATCTTGTGAATAGTTCCAGGAATTGGTTCTGAAGACCTTTTCGCTAAAAGTTTCTCTGATTTTTCTGAAGAATTGGTAACAAGAAATTCCCTAGAATTGGTTACAAGAAATTCCATTGGATAGAGTTACGAGAATTTCCTCGGAATGGGTTACAAGAAATTCCTCGGACCTGGTTCCTCGGAATGGGTTACGAGAAATTCCCAGGAAAAGCTGTCGACATTTTCACCGGATTTTCCTGTGAAAGATTCCTGAGAATTTCCGCGGATTCCCAGGAAAGATTCCTGGGAATTTCCGCGGATTTTCCGCAAAATTGTTACTTGGGAAACAGGATATCAAAGCAGTAAGAAGGGTAAAAAAGTGTCCCAAGTATAACGCATGAAACGTCTTATAATTTTGATGGCTTTTTAAATAGATATGAAAAAATGCTACAAAATAACGAATTCTTTCTTTGTAAGAATACAAATTACAAAGATATTTTTTTTCCTGACAATTTTGGTTTTACTAAAGAAATTGAAATCTCCTGTAATACTAAATGCAAGAACAGCACATTTGGGAAATTCCAGAGGTAATGGATAATTGTCGATCAAAGTTTAAAATATATAAGGTATACCTACCTAGTATACCTACACCATCAATTTGCAAAGATATATGGATTCAAATAATTATTTGTTTGAATAAGCGGGTTACAGAGTGCACTTACTTCATAACAGTTTGCTCGAAATCAATATCCACAAGATCATTTACAATTCGACCAGTCTTCTTCTCGATTTTAGTCTGAAATAAATTGATTGTTCACAAAAGTTGTGAAAAGGACTTATAAAGAGTCGTTGATTGGATGCAATTATATTGTCTATCTACCTATCTATCTTTTTTTATCTACTCAAATCCATACATACCAACCTACATACATAACCTACCTACATACCTACCTACCTACCTACCTACCTACCTACCTACCTACCTACCTACCTACCTACCTACCTAATCTATCTATCTATCTATCTATCTATCTATCTATCTATCTATCTATCTATCTATCTATCTATCTATCTATCTATCTATCTATTTATCAATCTATCAATCAATTTCAATTAATCAATCAATCAATCTACCTGCCCAGGCAGAGGACAGTATGGATGACAGGTGGGTGGAGGTAGGTCGGCAGGAACCGGTTTGACCGGTGTCGGTGATTTAGCCTTGTTTGGTGTTCTTGTTCCTCCATTCTGTACAGGTTTACCAGCTATACCCTACACCCAATCAGGGGAACAAACAAAGCAAAATAATAAACAAGCAAAATAAAAATGAAAATAAAAAGAATTATATTGTTTTGTTAATGTTGTCAAAGGTGTATATTTCTAAAATATCATTAGTTGTTTTCTGGTTATCACTGTCTGCATTTTTTGATGTTTATTTTTTCCTTGGGGAGGGGGGGGGTATTTCTAAAAATATACACCCATTCTATGTTAATGAAAATTATCACTCGCCTCAAACTCTATTTTTGTAATCATTTTATCTTTACAACCTTCTTAACCTTAGCTTTTACTTTGATCTATAGCGGAATTTATTGGTTTAAATATCAATATCATGTTGCAAAGATATAATAATTGAAACAGTAGAGTTTAAGAGAATGCCCAGTTTCTTCAAAATAAAAATAAGAGCAGAACTAAAAAAAATTGCTGATTAAAAAGATAAAAGAAAAACTCCCTCTTAAGTTAATAATTGCATTCGTTTTCCGTAAACAATTATTTTATTATTATATTTAAACCATTATTTACACTTTAAAGAAGAAAAAAGTTTAAAGGGACAGACCGGGCTATGTAAGGTAGTTAAACTGAGTATGCAGTGTTGTGGACAAATTCTTTAGGATTCATTTGAGACATATTAAACTTGTCAACACTCCACGATGTATAATTAAAGAGTTTGAGTGCATAGTCGACGTTCAAAATCACGAATTTGGGTGGGTACGTTTTCAAAATCGGGTTTTTTCAAATTATTAAATAACTACGACGAAAAATAAAGTAAAAATCATACAGTAAACTAATGGTTTGGAACATATTTCTCAAAAGAAATTGCCAATAAATCAATAGTAGAATCCATTATTTTGTTTTCATAATTATATTGAATTTCTTTTTTTCTATGAATTTATTTACAGATTTCTATCAATTCTTCAAATGTCGTCTTTTCAATAATAATTCCAGAAAATCTGCAGAAATCTTTGTAAATAATGAGAAAATAGAAACTAATACTTGAACACGATTACTTATTTTCGATGATAAGATTAATCTTTATTTTCTCAACCGGTTCCTAAACAACTAATGAGTTTACCTTACAGTTTTGTTTACATTTTTTCGTCGTTATTTTATAATTAGAAAAGCAACAATTCTGAAAACGTATCCACTCCAAAGTACGATTTTGAACGCCGACTTTGCGCTCAAACTCAGTATTTACAAATAGGGTTGTTAATCGTTTTTGTAAACGATCGTTAAACGATCGTTTACAAAATCGTTTTTTGTTTCGTTTTCAAAAACGATCGTTTCGTTTTCAGAAAAAAAACGATCGTTTTTAAAAACGACCCACTCGTTTTGAACTTTTAGAAAACAAATAGCGATCGTTTTTATTAAAACGACTTGCGATCGTTTTTTATACGATTGTTTTTAAAAAACGATCGTTTCTGAAATTTTTTTTATTGACAATTATGTTAACGATCGTTAACGAAGGGTCGTCGTTAACTATCGTTAGCGAAAGGTCGTCGTTAACGATCGTTAACGAAGGGTTGTCGTTAACGATCGTTAACGAAACGACGAACTTTATCAAAACGGTCGTCTTTGGAAAAAAATTACATGCAACTTTATTGAATGTCGTCTTACATGAAGTTTAACAGTTGTAGGGGAGTTAAAACTCCTTAAAAACTACTCAATGATAAGTACAGATGCCCTTCAGGTCGGTTTCCTCTCTTCGTTAACGATCGTTAACATAGGGGTCGTCGTTAACGATCGTTAACGAAGGGTCGTCGTTAACGATCGTTAACAAAGGGTCGTCGTTAACGATCGTTAACGAAGGTTGTCGTTAACGATCGTTAACGAAGGGTCGTCGTTAACGATCGTTAACGAAGGTCCGTCGTTAACGATTGTTAACAAAACGACGAATTTTATAAAAACTATCGTTTTGAAAAACGATCGTTTTTTAAAACGAGCGTTTTGAAAAACGATCGTTTTAAAAACGACCATTAAAAAAAACGAACTTTTAAAACAACAATCGTTTCGTTTTCGATTTTTCGTCGTGGTTATCATAACGAAACGATCGTTTTTCTGAAAAATGAAAACGTTAACATCCCTATTTACAAATCTTCAAAAAGTTTTATATGTCTCAAATTAATCCTAAAGAATTTGTCCACAACACTGCATACTCAGTTTAACTACCTTACATAGCCGGTCCGTCCCTTTAAGGCAATTTAAGATTTTCAACTGCAATTTGAAAAAAAAATCTTCTTATCTTTGGTTGAAAAATACCTCTTCCCCCCCCCCCCCGAGTTGTTAATGGTTTAGCATTGCATGCAAAGAAAACATACCTGCGCTAACATTTGACTTTTCACCACTGTGTTCGCTATTAGTCCTGTGGTAAAAAGTATAAAAAAGGTTTGTTTACATTTCAACCAGAAACTGCAGTACAGTTTTTACGTGACAAATATATGAGGGATAATTAAGTTTGTAACATTTGTGAAGAAAAACTCTACTTTCCTTTTGCAGAATTAAAACCTAATGACAATTTTGTGATTTTACAAAAATCCCAACTTTCAAAGTTTTCATTTTATTCCAAAGATTAAAAAAAAAACAGAATAGGGAGTTGTAAAAAGTAAATTAATGGACCTGGTATTAAATAAGGGGGAAAAATTTATAAATTATATGTCATTGTAATGGGTATCATGGGTGCGAGTTTTTGCTGGAATGTTTACTTTTTCTAGTTTGTTTTCGATCAAAATATAAGTATTTTCAACAAACTAGAAAAAATAAAAAATTCCGTCAAAAACATTTTCATACTTAATAATACAAGTTACAAGGACATTCTTGCCAACGAAATGTTTTAGAACTCATTTATTAAATGTCATTCAATGAATCAAACTTTAATTCCATAATTCATTTTTTTATCTTCCCTGTAACGAATCCTTTGCATTTGCATTTTCTTATTTGCATCTCATCCTCTGTTCCCTCATGACAGGCCTTAAAATGTGCAAATTGAATAGGAAAAAATTAAAATTGAAATTTAAAAAATTTAATTAGAATTAAAACATTGGTTAGATTTCATAGAATTCAAAATGAAAAGCATATTGAGTTTTTGCTGCAAACTCAATGCCTTTCAATTAGCTAATCACTATTTCTTTGCAACCCTTTTCAATGGGGATTCAAAAATTACAGTTTTAGGGAGTAATCAGTGCAATAAATGTTATAAATAAGAATTTTACTGAATCAAAATATAAAAAATCGCAAACTAAATGTGAAAAATCTGCTAGTATTTTTTTGCTATTGATTTTAAAATTTATGGAAAAAATTGCAATTTACAAGATGGAAGTATCTATTTATATAAGAGGTAGTAATCTCTACTTGTTTGTTTGTTCGGTTATCCGATTATACCCCTGGACCGATTTGCCTCAAAATCTGATTGGGGAACTCGGTGGAACCAAAGAAATATTATTGAAATAAAAGTTCTGAACTGAGAAGGTTGACGAATGGTGAAATCTTACAGTGAGAACTAGAAAATAGTGGAATAGGAAGATGACATTCAATTATAATTAACGGGACTGTAAAGGAAAAATGAAAGGGGGTATAGGCTGAAAGCTAATCACTTTAGCTCTTGATCGCGACCCTTGAAAGTTTTATCTGATGTTCCTGTCTCGAGAAACTGATATAAAACTGTGTTATAATTATACGAAAATTCATATATGTAAAATTTTGAAAATCTGAAACTTAAATCACGTGACCAGAACTATCACCAATGGCAGAGCAGTATACTGATCACGTGTCTCTGCCTGGATCACGTGACCACTTTACTGCACTGTCATTGGTGGATTTTCTGGTCAAGCAATTCGGACGTGTAAATAATATTATGAATTAAATCTATTAAAATAGAAATAACAAATATAAAATTAGAATTGGAGTAAACCTAAGTAATAATTAGCTTTCTCGGGGATATTATCGTTTTCAGATTGGTTGCTTATTTGCTGAATTTGATCTATTTAAACCCACTACTTTTATACAAAATGGTATATATATTAATTTTCGTATAAATTTGACACAGTTGTAAATCAATTTCTCGAGATAGGAACATCAGATAAAACTTTCATGGGTCGCGATCGAGAGCTAAAGTGATTAGCTTTCAGTCTTTACCCCCTTTCAATTTTCCTTTACTGTCCCTTTAAGTTTATTTGATGTTGTTACAAACAAATAGTTTTTTAAAATCACTTTTTAAGTTAAATAGGTCTCTTTGCACTACACAATTACTGTGTCTCATGCTCATTGAACTTTTCATGAGTCTTAAAGTTTCTTCCTTTTCCAAAGTTTTTTTTTAAAGTTCAAAGTTGTTTCCAGCAAAGCTGGGTTTCCTAGTTACAAATAATTTCTAATAAATACCTTGCAGAATGCATTTGCTCGTCTTACTTCCTCAGCATCGTTGGCGATAAAGAATCCAACAGTATTCGCTACAATCTTTACACCCCGAGGGTTTATCATGATCTTCCTGTCTTTTCCTGATAAGTATATATATTGTCTTGGAAAAAATATATATTTATACATCTAAAATGTATATTAAAACTGAACAAAGTTGAAAATACATATATATATCCAACAGTATTCGTTACAATCTTTACACCACGGGGGTTTATCATGATCTTCCGGTCTTTTCCTGATACATTATACAGCCCAAGTGGACCATCTGAGACTAAAAAAGAGACTAGGACAGTCCTTGTGACTAACGTAGGCGCTCTTTTGTTTAATGTAGCAAATTTCAGAGAGCGGAT